AACAGATATCCATGCTCTTTAGGACCCTGTGCAGCAGCCTGGGCAGACCCAGCACCAACTGCTAATCGAAAGAGAAAGCAACTTCTATTTGGTGTAAGTCACTCTTATTTTTGCTTCTCTATGTCAGTAGAGCCTAAATCCTAGCCAATATACATACTAAATATTTTCCTAAACAAATTCACTTATTTAAACAAATGCACTAGAGATTTTTCCATTCTTCTCTTTATCTTTTCCTTTATTTTACTGCTCAGTTTTTCAGCCACAAATACAACTTTCTACAGACTATGCCATCAGAGTGAAAACCACCAAAATTGTCAACAAGATCCTAATATAGTGAACTCAAAGACACCAAATGTCTTGGAAATGGCAAGGAATCAGGCAATATGGCCTTGCTTTTCACAATGTTGTCACAGGCACAATCAGCTTGACTGAAACTAATAGTGATTCTTGCTCTGGACCAGATATTTCAGAAAACAAGACAGATTTAATGTATTTGGCCAAATCACTTAAGCTCTCTGACATTTGGTGTCTTCATTGATGAAATTCAATTAATATTTTTTCTTCATAAACCTATTATGAACATAGAAATATTCCAAAGAGTGAAACACTACCCAGTGCTTCCATAAAAAATCCACTGCCATCAAGTTGATTCTAACTCACAACAACCATAAAGATAAGGTTTCTAAGAGACTCTAAACTAAATCTTTATGGAAGCAAACTACTATCTTTAGCCTGCAAAGCTGCTGGTAGGTTTGAACTGTTCAACTTCTGGTTAATTGCTTTGTTCACTCTGCCACTGAGCCCAGAAACTCTTCATTGAATGGAAAGCTTAAATTGTATTTTAAAAGAAATTGGGCAGAAATATACTTCCAAAACATCAGTCACTAAAATCTGTAAGGGACCCAGCTGTACAACAGCATCTGCACTGTTGTTTGCCATCACGTAGGAGCCAAGCATCACAGACACACCAGGGGGTTTTCAGAGACAAAATTGCATGGGAGGAGATTGCCCATCGTTCTCATGCAGAACAGTTATTGAATTCAAACCACATGCCTTTGGGATTACAGTGCAGCTTCTTACCACTAGGCCATCAGAGCTCCCTATACAGTGAAGCATACAGGGTTACTAACAGTAGGACTTGACACAATTGCAACTATTATTGTTGCTGTTATGTGATGTCAGCTCATAGTGACCCTATGCACAACAGCTCTGAACTATTTCCTATCCTGAGCCAGTCTCTCTGCCTCTGACATTCATACCCCCAGTATCCCAATGACTGCGTCAATCCATCTCATCCAGGGTTTCGCTCTCTCGTACCATCGTCCCTCTACTCTTCCAAGCATGATAGTATACTGACATAATATTTAAGACATTTAAGGGAGCTCTGGTGGCCTAGTGGCAAGAAGCTGCACTGCAATCCCAGAGGTACGCAGTTCGAATCCAGCATGCAAAAAATAATAAAATTAAAAATTAAAAAAAAAAAAGAAATTCTGAACAGGAAATAATAAAGTCTCTAAAACTTTTCCAAAGTCAGAGAAGGTTTTCTGGGTACAGAAACTCCTGTTCTAATATTATAATATATCAAATGACATCTATTATGGCTGAAGAATAAGGCTGCTGTTTTAAAAAACTAAAGCCAGGACTCTAGCCATGAATAGATAAATCCTAGGAGCTTCAGATTAATGTTTCTTTTCTAACATGGAACTTTTCTTGAATTAAAAAGGGCATCATTGTCTTTCTTTTTGCCCAAGTTTTCTTAGCTTCCTAGCTGATTTTTGACATATTACAAAATTGGATCAAGAAAATTGATATATAAAAGGAAATATTTTCAGTTCTGTTATATATGTTGTTGTTTCTCTGTACCATAGAGTCACAACAGACCCATAGCTGACCCTCTGGTGAGTTTTCAGAGGCAGTTGATCGCACGGGAGGAGATTGTCCATCCTTCTCCCTAGGAGCATCTGGTGACCTTGAAAGGCATGCCTTTGGGATTGAAGTGTAGCTTCTTGCCACTAGGCCACTAGAGATATCTATCTATCTATCTATCTATCTATCTATCTATCTATCTATCTATCTATGAAATGGTGACCAAGTAAATCAACAGAACTACAACATCATCACTTAAAATTTAACCAATGAGCAAAACTTATTGTGTGTTTTACATAGGACAGTTGTAAAACAAGATTAAATTTTTCTTGATACAACATCTTGCTGTTCTGATTAACTTTTAAGAGATTCTGGAAATAGAGATGTAAACTAGATGCTTGTGCAAATATCATTAGCTTAATGAACTACATAACATGTATGTATCTTACAGATACTGAAGATAATTGAATCCTGAAACAATTGTAGAAACATATATCCAGGAATTATTCCTTAATGATATTTGACATTCGTTAGTCTTAAGAAACAGAGCTTGGGTTCAGAAACAATTCAAACCTTTGAAAGAGTGTGGTGTTATAATGCTTACTCTTCTATCCAGTGGTCCCTTTTGAGGGAATTTTCCAAACAGATGAAAGACTAGCTTCTAGTCATCTGTGTTTTGGAACACAAGATCCCATATTGTCACAGTTCGTTATATTGGAACAGTCAAGAACAAAGTTAATCACAATCTCTTTTTCTCTGCCTTTCATCCCTTCCTCTTCTCTATCCCCATTCTCTCTTTTTTCCTTCTCTCTACATTTTTTGGAATGTCAACAAATCACTATTTAGATATTGAAGTCATTTAGAGCTAAGAGTGCTGTTATTGTTGCTATGTTCAGTCCAGTTGGCATCAACACACAGCTGACCATCCAAGGGGGTTTTCAGAGACAGTGAATGTCACTGGAGCTGACTGTCCTTTTTTTTCTCCCAAGGAACAGCTGCTGGATACAAACTGTGTGCCTTTGAATTGACAGCACAGTTTCTTACCACTAGGCCACCAGGGCTCCCCTAGAAGTAAGAGTACTGTTGTTGTTGTTGTTAGGTGCTGTCAAGTAAAGTACAACTCACAGTGACCCTGTAAACGAAAGATCTGAACCCTGTCCTATCTTGTTGCATCCTCACACTTCCTGACACACAAAAGTCCATTGTGGCAGTCACTGTGTCGATCTATTTGGTTGAGGTTCTTCCTCCCCTTCACTGACTCTTCACCCTTCCCAGCATCATGTCCCTTTCCAAGGAATAGCCCTTCCTAGGAACATGCCCAAAGTATTTAAAGTCAAATCTCATCATCCTTTCCTCCAAAGGGGACTCCAGCTGCACCCTTGGCAGTACATGAGATGTTCAGTGCTTTTTTCAAACACAATAACTCAAAGGCATCAAATTCTTCTTCTATCATCCCTATTCATTGTTCAGCTCTCAGATACATAGCAAGTGATCAGAAAGACCATGGCCTGAATCAGATGCACTTTAGTCCTCAAACTGACATCATTACTCCTCAATAATTTGCGGAGACCCCTAACCACAAACTTTCTCAATGCAATGTGTCTCCTGATTACCTGACTGCTAGTACCAAAGGTGTTCACTGTGGAAGTAAGAAGTAAGAGTAGAAACTGTGGAAGAAAGAAAAAGATTGAGTTGGGGTGGGACAAGTCATATTAGGCATTTGCAAGTCCAATTATACATTAACTGAGAATTAAGCAGAACAAAATTCCTGGTTATTGACCAGAAAGGAACAAATTCAAAAAGTATACCTCAGACCATGCAACTATAATCTTCCTGAAGACAGTGACAACTGCTAATTTCTCCGTTAACATTTCCCAACATTCAGCATAGTTTCTAGTCCTGGTTATTACAAAATAACTCACTCAATATTTAACATTAGCTAATGAGTTAGCCATTGATCACTAAAGTGTAACTCATGAGTGCCTGCTATTGTGCAAACCATTAAGTGGTCCTTTCTTTTAGAAGTACTGTCATTGTGTAGGAAACATATTGGTCCATGAGATTCCTTTCCCCTCAATTCAGACTATGTAGTTCTTTATTGTGTTTTTTTTAAATCTATGCTAAATATAAAAATCTATGCTATTTAAGTGAATATTTACAAATCTCATTTTTTCCTAATCATTCATAGCCAATTTTGTTCTTAAACTTCTAATATTTCCCTGTACTTGAGTGCATTTCTTTGGCAGCTTGATTTTTTTAAGTGAAAGATTCAATATGAACTAAAAAAAGAGGAGAGAGAATTAGAGGAGAGGGGAGGGGTAAATAGAGAGAAAAAGAGTGACATTATCCTTGGGTTTTAAGTACCTTTTTGGTTGTTATTTCTTTTGTGAGGTGTTCAAAAGACCCAAGGCAATCTCCCTCCAGGACAGTGTAGACTTTCAGAACGAGAAAAGACTAAAGCATTGAAACTAAAACAACCCATTCTAGCGAATCCAACACTAAGAGAGCACTCTCAAGAGGACTGTCATTTGTATAGTCTGGCTATACAAAACATCACAGCATCTTAACCATTTTCCTGAAACTTGTTTGCATTTGGATGAATGAGAGCAACTAGACTCCCCTTCTCCTATTTACTTGATGAGAGTAAAAAGTGCCTTAGGGTGTGAGCCTACTGAAAAAAAAAATATAGCATTATTCCCAAACTCTTAAGTTTCTTCTTCATCATTATTATGGAAATGAACTCATTCGTGAGTCTTTCTGAAAATCTAAATACCTGATTTCTTTTTTTTTTTTTTCAACCACAAAGAAACTCAGAAAACTGTATGAAGGAAAGTCGGGAATGATGTGAAGGAAAATGCTCCTTCAGTAAACGTGTTCTTATAAAACAACATATTTTGAAGAATAAATATCTTTTGAGGTCGGGTTCATCCCCAATCAATTGATGTTAAGGATAATAGACATTATATCCTTTGATTGACTATTACTCTGTACATCTCACAGACGTACTCTCCGTATTAGCAGCAACACCAGGTGGCCGATATTATCCTTATGCCCAAGACACCCCGACAAAAAGGTCAAAAGCAAGAGATTCACATGTATAAAGAGAGGTAAGGAATGTAGAACAAAATACTTACTTGGTCCCAGACCAATTGAGAAAGCAGCAACATAAACAAGCAAACTGGCCAAGGAGAGCCATTTCAAAGCAGCTGGCACTTCCCCTGGGTCTGTGGCTACTTGCTGTTCAGTTTGGTTTAGTTCAGCACTTGGTGAGGCTGCCAAAGTCATTGTGTCTCTCTTTTTCACATCATTTCTCATGGACATTAGGGAGCTCCTGCCATGAGAACTGATCCCTTTAAAGGGCTCCCTGAAACTGTGATTGGCTGGCAGGTCTCCTGGTCCATAAAATGTAGGCTCGTTCAGGGATTGGTTGATAAGACTATTGCTCCTGCAGATGTCGGTGAAGTTCATGGGGATGTTGAGATTCACAAGGCCCATCGTCATCAACGAGGCTGCCATCACGGAGGAGCCCACACAGAGGAAGGTCTTGCTTCCAACGTGATCCACAAGAAGCGTAGCTGGGATGGTGCCAATCACCTTGACCACCCCGACCCCGGTGGAGGCAAGGCTCGCTGCCTCATCGCTGTGAAAGCCAACCGACTTCAGAATAGTTGATGCATAGAATAAAATATTTGGCTGGCCTGTGATTTGTACAAAAAACACCAGTGTGAGGCCTATCATTATTCGGGTCCTCATGTTGTCCTTTGAGCGAAACAAATCCCAAAAACTATACTGATATTCGTCTTTCAGGGAAGATTTGATCAGAGTGAGTTCCTCAGTTGTGTCCGTGATCCCACGTAACCTTCCGAGAACCTTGCTGGCAGCTTCCTCTTGCCCTTTCATCACCAGAAACCGAGGGCTTGGAGGAAGAAAGTACATTGCAATTGCTTGTAAAATTCCCAAGGGAATAACGAGGCCAAACATGTATTTCCACCCATGGAAAACATTGGCAAATGCATAATTTGAAATATAGGCAAAAAGAATGCCAATGACAATCATAAGTTCATTCAGTGACACCAGGAGGCCTCTTCGGTGCTGGGGGGCAATCTCGGCAATATAAACACACGTGGCGATTGAAGACAGGGAAATGGAAACTCCCAAGGCAATGCGTCCCACGATGAGAACCGTGTATGATAAATGGAGGATCAGAATCAAGCTTCCCAGTCCAAGGAGGCAGGAGGATAAAATGATGGCGATCCTCCTCCCATACCTGTCTATCAGGACCCCTCCTGTTAGAGAGGTCAAGAAGGCCCCAATCAGGAGGGAGCTCACGACCATCTCTTGCTCCTGGCAGGTCAGGTCTAGTTCGGTTCTTATCTGAAGGAGAGCCCCGGAGATGATGCCGAGTTCATAACCCACCAGGAGGCCACTGACAGCAGCCGTGACAGATGACAGGAAAGTAAACATGCTGCAACCTGTAGGCAAAGAGGAAAAGAAGGTCAGTCCTGAAGTGTTAGCTTAAGCATTGTCTCACCTGAAACCTAATCCTTTGTAAGCCATTCAATCACCGTGAGTTTGACCACACACAGATGCAAGCAATTATAATAAAATAATGTACTAACAAATGTGACTAACTATAGGAAGAAACATATTTTTTCTTTCATTCCAGGAGGATTAGGGTTTGGAGATATTTGTGAAGACCAATTTTCTCTATTTATGATGTTAATCTTTTTATTTTAGAGGAAATAATTATATCCAAGTGAAACAGACAAAATACATTGGTCATATAAGAACATTATTTAGGTTATGACTTAAAATTTGATCAAACAGTCAAATAGCCTGACTCTCTAAAGGCACACTTTTAAAGGCAGGGCACGGATGATGGGACCATAATAAAAAAATCACAAATAGACATTCTTCTGGTATTCTGTGCTCTCTGCCAAGATCCATTAGACATCAACAGTGATAGCCCTGGTGCTATGGCCTCTTCTAAATCCAGCTTGTACTTCTGGCTATTCTCTGTCAATGTTTTATTAATGATATTAATCACAGGACAGAACGGAGTTTAGGGCTGTTGTTCATAGGGTCGCTATGAGTCAGAAGCAGCTTGACGGCACATAACAACAACAACAACAACAATTAATCAATAATTTCCACATCTGTTCAATCATCTTTTCCTGGAAGGGGAACAAACATGGATCTCTTCCAGATGCTCTATAGATGTTCTTATGCTTTCCAATTAGAGTTGTACTTCACATATTTCACATTCCCATTTTTAGTGGATATTTGCAGCTGTTTCCTCTCATTTTGATTTGTCCCACATTAGCAAATTAGCTTAAATCTTGAACTCACCCATGTAGTTAAGATAGACTCTACTTTGAGGTGGCAACTCAGCTTCACACAAAGTCTGAACTCATTTCAACCTGCAGGACTCATCTTCTGATGTTAGCAATGATACCTTTGTTTACATCCTCTTTTGAGCCCAGTTTGAATTTCTGGCAGTTCACCGACAATATATTACTGAAGAGAATTTTAAATTCTCTTCTGTAACATTTTACTGGTGTATGATAGTAATGATACTGCTCTATAATTTCTACATTCTGTCAGATCAGTTTTCTCGCAAGGGGCATGAATACAGATCTCTTCCAATTGGTTGGCCAGGTAGCTCTCTTTCAAACTTTCCGGCATAAATGAGTGGACACGTACAGGATATCCATTTGTTGGTATTCCATCATCTCCTACATGCTTACTGCGATCAATTACTGCTGAAAACCATGACAAATCCCTAAGCTGCTTATCCAATTTGTGAATTCTAATTAATTGGGTAAGATCAACCACTAAGTTTCAACTATGGTATCTCTGTGATACCACAAGATGTCTGCTACAGGGAATTGCTCAGTTGTTATTTTACCAAATAAAAATAGTATCAAGAAACATAAAGAGTAAAATTTCTCCTGCATCTAGAATTTGAACAAAGATGACATATTAGGGAGTGTTGGTGCCCTAATAGTAAAAAGCAAGTGATTCGAGTCTATCAGTTGCTGCTTTGGAGAAAGATGGATAATCACCTCCTATTCAATTTACAACTTCTGAAAACATCCTGGAGGGTCAGCTATGCATCAGTTCCAGTTTGACAGCACTTAACAACAACAATGTAATTGTATAAGCAGATTGTTGTCCTATGGATACTTGAAAATAGAGAAAACTATTCCAAGAAAGTTGACAATGAATGAATAAACAGGATTAAAGAGGATGTGGCAAGAAGGTATGGTTTAAATTTGACTAAATGCAAATATGGGAGCTCTGGTGGCCTAGAGGCAAGAAGCTGCCATACAATCCCAAACTGAAAGCACACAGTTCAAATCCGCCAGCTGCTCCGTGGGAGAAGGATAGGCAGTCTCCTCCCACGCAGTTAACTGCCTCTGAAAACTCACTGAAGGGTCAGCTATGGGTCCCTTCTGACCTGATGGCAGACAAGAACAAATGTGAATATGGAATTTGAGGTGCTTGGGTGGGTTGAAGAGAACACCAGCGCTAAAGGAAGAGTAAGGCTTATAAACACCTGTGCTCATGCTAATGATGAAGGTTCTAGAGAGTTGATTCTGATTCACCTATTCTGGTTTTGTCCTTTAGGGACCCTACAGGACAGAGGAAAACTGCTTCATAAACTTTCCAAGGCTGTGTGTCCTCTCTAGAGAAGATCACAGCCAGGTCTTTCTTCCATGGAGGAGAGAGGCTGGTGGGTTTGATCTTTTGGTTACAAGTGGACTACAAGTGGACTGCTTAACCATTGCTCTATCAAGCCACTTTAATGCCGAATTGTCATTGATGACACTTAACACACTGCCGCACACTTTTTAGATTGATGACTGTGCTTAGAAACACATTTGCTGTCATTTGTGGCAGCGTGTTAACAGGCATTTTGTTCATGGACTCTCTCGTGGGAGAGTGGGCTGGGGAGCAAGTTCTCCTTATATCCCTCTTCTCCCAAACAAAGGCATCAGAAATTCTCGAATGTGTGGACTTCAGAAAAGTGAAAATTACTTGGAAACCTGCAACTGGAACCAAGTTTCTGCTTGGTCCTTCCTATAGTTAGTAATTTGCTGTGTGGCTACAGGCCAGTTGTTGTTTGACATCAGGTTGGAACCAACCCACAGTTTGACCTTACAGTGAGTTTTCAGAGGCAGTAAATCACATTGGAAAAGAATGTCCATCCTTCTCCCGCAGAACAACTGGTGGATTTGAACCACATATCTTTTGGGATAGCAGCACAGCTTCTTACCACTAGGCCACCAGAGCTCCCTGAAAGTAGATACAAAAAGTAGAGTTCTAGCTTTTCTTTTGATGCAATGATGGTTCTTCAGTTAAATAAGGAAGACACGTCTTTTCTAGGGCAGTTATTGAGCACAATCAAGAGATTTTACGCAAATGACCACTGAGACCCACAGCAAAAGGGCTACAAAAGTAGGTCTGAGCCAGGGCCATGAGACTGCAGTGCAGGCTGTCAGAACGGGTTCATTGTCTGCCATTCACCATAATTCAGATGAAACCATAACTGTAACTGACACTGAACAGAAAACGCTCCATTTTTCACATTTGAGTTTCTATCTGCCTGTTATATGGATGTGTACAATGGACACACATGAGGCACTTTATGACTAAATCTGACAACATGCAGAAAGGAATGCTCACACACACACAGACAGACACACACACACACACACACACACACACACACACACACACAGTTTCTTGGCAGGGAGGCAGGTAATTTCTACAGCCTGATCAACTACTATGAAAGTATCACAAATTTAATAGACTTCTGATTTTAAGTTTTTCATGATAAAAACATGTCATCCCCAAATAAGATCTTGCTGTTATGGTCTGTCACTTTTTTGTTCCTTTCTCTTGAATGCTCATCTTTTGAAAGTCATTTCAAGGATCTCTGTCCTTCAGAAGACTACTCCCCTGCCTCTAGCATCTCTCTGCCCTGTCAGAGTTCACGGTCCTTACCCCAGAATTCACGGCCCTTACCCCCTTTCCCCTAGCCCTTATTTCCCTACTCTGCACAGAATGCATATTTCCAGATTACAGATCACAATTTAGGAGTCCCTGTGTGGTGAAAATGGTTAAAACATTTTGCTGATAATCAAAAGTTTGGAAGTTTGAGTTCACCCAGTAGTACCTCTGAATAAAGACCTGTAGATCTACTTCTGAAATACCAGCCATTGAAACAATAAAGAAGTCCTTTGCAGCAGATTTTCCCAGTGCAATAGGTCATTTGATTCCTTGGCAGTTGTTTTCTTTCATTCATGTTGATGGTGGGAGCAAATAAAACAAAACTATGGCCACTTCAATATTTTTTCCATTTATCATGATGTTGCTTATTGGTCCAATTATTGCTTATTTGGAGCACAGTTCTATTCTGATGCTCATGGAGCCACTTGTTAAATTGTTAGCACACTTAATGCACTCATTCACTTATGTATTTGTCTTTCCCCATTAGAAATAAGGTACTCTTAGTTGTTTCTGGCATGAGGTAAAAAGCAAATGTTTGATCAGTGAATAAATCAAGAAATGAATGTAAAACAGCATTCCATAATAACATATCCTTGGTTCTCTCAACTCATAGTTACATTAGGGGATTTAAGTTAATGCATAGCATTATATAATGTTCCCATTCAAAAAAAAGGTAATCCAAAAGATTGTGAAAATTATCAAACAATAGCATTAATATCACACACAAGTAAAATCTTACCAAAGATGATTAAAATATGGCTGGGACAGTACATCTAAGGGAACTTCCAGAAATCAAGCTGGATTTTGTAAAGAAGGTGGCTCAAGGTATACCATTGCTGACAGACCTGGGCTGAAAGCAGAGAATACCAGAAGGATGTCTATCTGTGTGTTATTGACTAAGCAAAGGACTGTAGATTTTTAAAAAATTTTTTATTGACTCTGGATAACAACAAATTATGGTCATTGTTGAGAAAGAATGGGAGTCCCAGAACACTAAGGTGCACCTGATCCAAGCCATGGTCTGGTCAATTGTTTCCTATGCATCTGAAAGTTGGGCAGTGAATAAGCATGACAGAAGAAGAATTAATGCCTTAGGGTTGTAGTGTTGGAGAAGAGTCTTGAATATCCCATTACTTCCCAAAAGAACAAACAAGCTTGTCTTATAGGAACTGCAACTAGAGTGCTCTTTATAGGCAAGGAAGGTAAAACATCATTTCACTTGGACATGCTGTAGAAGGGGCCTGTCCTTAGACATCATGCTGGAGAAGGAAGAGCATCAGAGAAAGAGGAGGAGACCTCCACAAGATAGATGGACTCAATGGCTATAGCAATAGGTTCGAGCATATTAGAGATTGTGAAGATGGTGCAGGATAGTGCAAGGTTCAAATCTCTTGTTCATAGGGTTGTTATAAATTATAGGCAACTCGATGGCACCTACCAATAACAACAATATAAT